GAGGAGCATGGCCGCACACTAGCTGAGCTCTGGGACAGAGGGTTCCTTATAGCGGCACACAGCAACTCACAGCAGCCCTGAGGACTTAGATCGGATCCAGAAGAGTAGGAGAAGCGGTGGAGAACATGGGGAAGAGGAAGATCAGAGACAGTCCCTGCAAACTGGGCGAGTTTAATAGCCCAGTGGGGACAACGACAAAGAAAGATGGCACCGGATCCTCCTCACACTACAGCACCAAAAGCTGCACGGCCTGCTGGGGGGGGGGGGGAATATGAAGAGCTGCACACATGGGGGGGGGGGGGGGGTAAATTATACAGGCTGTCAAGCAGAGTTAAAGCGGAGTTCCAGCTTTTTTATTTACTCCCTTGAAAGACAATGGTCTCCCTCTTCACAGTCCGTTTTGGCAATATATATGTAGATTTGTTTTCCTAAATAACTTTTATTGGTAATTTCTGTCTCCACATCGGTCCCTGCCGCCTAGGCGATTACATCATCAGACATTCCCTAGGGCTTCTGGGATATCGGCGTCATCTATCCCAGCAGTCCTAGGGAATGCCCGATACCAAAATCTTGCATTATTATGAGACCGGAAGTGACACGATCGCAGGGATTTCTTCACACTGCTCAGGTGCGAGATCGCTCCTTCTTCAGACTGCTCAGGTGCGAGATCGCTCCTTCTTCACACTGCTCAGGTGCGAGATCGCTCCTTCTTCACACTGCGCAGGTGCGAGATCGCTCCTTCTTCACACTGCGCAGGTGCGAGATCGCTCCTTCTTCACACTGCGCAGGTGCGAGATCGCTCCTTCTTCACACTGCTCAGGTGCGAGATCGCTCCTTCTTCACACTGCTCAGGTGCGAGATCGCTCCTACTTCACACTGCGCAGGTGCGAGATCGCTCCTTCTTCACACTGCTCAGGTGCGAGATCGCTCCTTCACACTGCGCAGGTGCGAGATCGCGCCTTCTTCAGACTGCGCAGGTGCGAGATCGCTCCTTCTTCACACTGCTCAGGTGCGAGATCGCTCCTTCTTCACACTGCGCAGGTGCGAGATAGCTCCTTCTTCACACTGCTCAGGTGCGAGATCGCTCCTTCTTCACACTGCTCAGGTGCGAGATCGCTCCTTCTTCACACTGCGCAGGTGCGAGATCGCTCCTTCTTCACACTGCTCAGGTGCGAGATCGCTCCTTCTTCACACTGCGCAGGTGCGAGGTCGCTCCTTCTTCACACTGCTCAGGTGCGAGATCGCTCCTTCTTCACACTGCGCAGGTGCGAGATCGCTCCTTCTTCAGACTGCGCAGGTGCGAGATCGCTCCTTCTTCACACACTGCTCAGGTGCGAGATCGCTCCTTCTTCACACTGCTCAGGTGCGAGATCGCTCCTTCTTCAGACTGCGCAGCTGCGAGATCGCTCCTTCTTCACACTGCTCAGGTGCGAGATCGCTCCTTCTTCACACTGCTCAGGTGCGAGATCGCTCCTTCTTCACACTGCTCAGGTGCGAGATCGCTCCTTCTTCACACTGCTCAGGGTGCGAGATCGCTCCTTCTTCACACTGCGCAGGTGCGAGATCGCTCCTTCTTCACACTGCTCAGGTGCGAGATCGCTCCTTCTTCACACTGCTCAGGTGCGAGATCGCTCCTTCTTCACACTGCGCAGGTGCGAGATCGCTCCTTCTTCACACTGCTCAGGTGCGAGATCGCTCCTTCTTCACACTGCTCAGGTGCGAGATCGCTCCTTCTTCACACCGCGCAGGTGCGAGATCGCTCCTTCTTCACACTGCTCAGGTGCGAGATCGCTCCTTCTTCACACCGCGCAGGTGCGAGATCGCTCCTTCTTCAGACTGCGCAGGTGCGAGATCGCTCCTTCTTCACACTGCTCAGGTGCGAGATCGCTCCTTCTTCACACTGCTCAGGTGCGAGATCGCTCCTTCTTCACACTGCGCAGGTGCGAGATCGCTCCTTCTTCACACTGCTCAGGTGCGAGATCGCTCCTTCTTCACACTGCGCAGGTGCGAGATCGCTCCTTCTTCACACTGCGCAGGTGCGAGATCGCTCCTTCTTCACACTGCGCAGGTGCGAGATCGCTCCTTCTTCACACTGCGCAGGTGCGAGATCGCTCCTTCTTCACACTGCTCAGGTGCGAGATCGCTCCTTCTTCACACTGCTCAGGTGCGAGATCGCTCCTTCTTCACACTGCTCAGGTGCGAGATCGCTCCTTCTTCACACTGCGCAGGTGCGAGATCGCTCCTTCTTCACACTGCTCAGGTGCGAGATCGCTCCTTCTTCACACTGCTCAGGTGCGAGATCGCTCCTTCCTCACACTGCGCAGGTGCGAAAACAGGAAGTGCATGCTGGGTAGCCAGCTTCATAATTTCCCAGAAGAATGTCTGAACGAGCTTCAGGTGCCCACGCTTAAAATGACAGCGTTCACAATATGAGGGTGCAGTAAGTAAATTTGTTTTTTATGAGGAAAGCAAAGCATTACAAGTACAGGTGATCTCAACTTGCATTGCCTAAGCTGCCACTCTCACTTGGGTGCCTTTAGAAAACAAAAAATTAAGCGGCTGGAACTCCGCTTTAAAGAGATGTTAGTATCATTGAGAGGAGCACTGCAAGAGGATATATTGAAACGTATGCAACAATCTAAAATAGAAATTGATGCATTGGGAGCAGGGGCGGACTGACAACTCATGGGGCCCCCGGGCAATAGGGGATCATGGGGCCCCTGTGTCCTCAAAAAAGCCTATGAAAAAGGTATCAGGGGCATCTCATGGGGCCCCCTACTGACCCCGGGCCCTCGGGCAGTGCCAGAGTTTCCAAATGGTCAGTCCGCCCCTGATTGGGAGAAAGAGTGGACTATATTGAAAGCAAAATGTGTGATTTCCCAGAGGCACTTAATGATTTAGTGGATGCCCATTCTGACTTGGAGGAAGAAATAAAAAAACTCAAAGTGTCAGACCTTAAGGATAGGTCAAGACACAATAATGTGAAATTCAGGGAAATTCTTGAAAATGTGAAAGCATTAGATCCACAACAAGAATTGGCGATTGATAGAGCACATAGGCTGCCTAGGCCGTCACATATACCTGAAAAATTGCCAGGGATGTAATTACAAAAATATATTTCTTTCATGTAAAAGATCAGTTGATGCAATATTCACGGCATCATTCACCACTTCCTGACCCATAGGCAGGCATTCTACTTTATTCTGATCTTTCACAAGCAAGCAACCTTTTTGCCTCGGAAGAACTTGAACTCGATAACCAAAATCCTCCACAATCGCAATATAATTTACAAATGGGGCTTCCCTGCAAAGTTATTGGTGGAGAAGAACGATACCTCCTACTCAATCTCCAGTATGGAAGATGGCCTAAAAATTCTTAAAGTATGGGGCCTATTACCCAACAATCATGACAGTCCTCTGGAAAAAGCCATGTCGGAAAAAATTCCCCAACAATGGCAAAAAAGCCATGGATGAAGTCATTTTCTATCTCAAGAAGAATCTCTCTTTATGTAAAACTGTTTGTATATTTGACATAAACCTTTTCAATAATCTACATACACCCTCTCCCGCAGTCTCATACTGCTAACATAATGTCCATAATACAGTCCAAAATTCAAAATTGGAGATCCAAAATATTAAACAAACATAAAAAATAATAAAAAAATATATAAATGACTATGGAAATTATAAAAATTATAGTCCACGCTCTCCAATCTTCCAACTGTGTAAATGTCCAAATCTTCCCTTCAATCCAAAAGCACCTCAAAGAAAATAAACTAGATATAGTGCATTATCTTTAATAAAATAAAAATTATAAGTGATGTCATGCAACCACACTGGTGATATAGAAAAATACTAATAAATAGACATCATACATGTGAAGTGAAAGTCAACACACCACTTCACTAGTGGTCCTGTGAAACAACCACTGCAATACGTGAAATATCACAAAAACCACAATAAGTGATGAGTGAAAATTGTGCCAAAAATAAAGTGCCACCACTCTGCTTATGGGATAATATACAATTACCCTCTTGCTGCTTTCAAAGCATTCTGAAATTCCATTATACCAGATGGAATTTCAGAATGCTTTGAAAGCAGCAAGAGGGTAATTGTATATTATCCCATAAGCAGAGTGGTGGCACTTTATTTTTGGCACAATTTTCACTGATCACTTATTGTGGTTTTTGTGATATTTCACGTATTGCAGTGGTTGTTTCACAGGACCCACTAGTGAAGTGGTGTGTTGACTTTCACTTCACATGTATGATGTCTATTTATTAGTATTTCTATATCACCAGTGTGGTTGCATGACATCACTTATAATTTTTATTTTATTAAAGATAATGCACTATATCTAGTTTATTTTCTTTGAGGTGCTTTTGGATTGAAGGGAAGATTTGGACATTTACACAGCTGGAAGATTGGAGAGCGTGGACTATAATTTTTATAATTTCCATAGTCATTTATATATTTTTTATTATTTTTTATGTTTGTTTAATATTTTGGATCTCCAATTTTGAATTTTGGACTGTATTATGGACATTATGTTAGCAGTATGAGACTGGGGGAGAGGGTGTATGTAGATTATTGAAAAGGTTTATGTCATTTTGCACTTTCAAGGGTGAAAGTTTGACTTTTCTGTGGGAAGTTATAGAGTTTTGATTTATTGCTTGTATATTTCTTTTTGTTCTGATACAAAGTTATCAGTTCACACCAGTTCAATCACCTCAGGTTCAGAGGAAATGTCTGGGTGATTGGTTGAAACGTTATTTTCCCCTGATCACAAGTACATGGTTAAATGTACACAAGAGTTGCTACACTTTTTTTTTTTTTCTACCAGTCTTATGTTATTCTAATGTTATGATTAGAGATGAGCGAAGTATTCAAAAATTCGATTCGACTGATTCGGCGAATTCGTGGAAAAATTTCGATTCGAGTCGAATATATTCGCTGTGAATTTAACTTAAAAAAGGGGTGTTTCTAGGCTTCAGAGAGACTTAATATTAGTGCTGAACACTGTACCTTTAATTTAAATGCCCTTGGAGTCTGCTGGGGAAGAGAAATAATACTGTCAGTCAGTATGACATGCAGATGAGTGCCGTCGATCTTAGAATCACCGCACACTTCACTCATTTGGGCAGTCACGGGGCCAAAACCAGAGTGTGGAGCCACAGTGTGGCGGTGGAGGCAGCAGCAATGGGAGGCCATACAGCACCCTATGACAAAAATGGAAACCACCAGCAGTGTGAGGAGACCTGAAAGTGGCACATGGCAGAGTGTGGCGATAGAGACAGCAGCAATGGGAGGCCGTACAGGGACCCATGACACACTCTGGACCTGGCAGCAGCATGAGGAGGAGGCGGTACAGGGGCCCATGGCAGATTACGGGCCTGGCAGCAGCATGAGGAGTCGGTACGGGGCCCATGGCAGATTACGGGCCTGGCAGCAGCAATGGGAGGCCGTACAGGGACCCATGACACACTCTGGACCTGGCAGCAGCATGGGGAGGCGGTACAGGGGCCCATGACAGATTACGGGCCTGGCAGCAGCAGCATGAGGAGTCGGTACGGGGGGCCCATGACACACTCTGGACCTGGCAGCAGCATGAGGAGGCGGTACAGGGGCGCATGACAGATTACGAGCCTGGCAGCAGCAACTTGGACACAGAGAACGTTCAGCTTTTGCACCGTCGGGTGCGTGCTCGCAAACTGTTGTCTCTTGGAAACGGATTCCAAAAAAGACTGCTGACGGAATCCGTGAAGAGGAGTAGCAGGAGAAGGAGCATCTGAACGAGCGGAATATGCCAACAAGCGACAACAGGGGCCCATGACAGATTACGGGCCTGGCAGCAGCAGCATGAGGAGTCGGTACGGGGGCCCATGGCAGATTAGGGGCCTGGCAGCAGCTATGGGAGGCCCGTAATCTGCCAGCACCCTATGACAAAAAATGGAACCCACCAGCAGTGTGAGGAGACCTGAAAGTGGCACATGGCAGAGTGTGGCGATGGAGACAGCAGCAATGGGAGGCCGTACAGGGACCCATGAGAGACTCTGGACCTGGCAGCAGCATGAGGAGGCGGTATATAGGGGCCCATGGCAGATTAGGGGCCTGGCAGCAGCTATGGGAGGCCCGTAATCTGCCAGCACCCTATGTCAAAAAATTCTACACACACCAGCAGTGTGTGAGGAGACCTGAAAGTGGCACATGGCAGAGTGTGGCGATGGAGACAGCAGCAGCAATGGGAGGCCGTACAGGGACCCATGAGAGACTCTGGACCTGGCAGCAGCATGAGGAGGCGGTATATAGGGGCCTATGGCAGATTAGGGGCCTGGCAGCAGCTATGGGAGGCCCGTAATCTGCCAGCACCCTATGTCAAAAAATTCTACACACCAGCAGTGTGAGGAGACCTGAAAGTGGCACATGGCAGAGTGTGGCGATGGAGACAGCAGCAATGGGAGGCCGTACAGGGACCCATGAGAGACTCTGGACCTGGCAGCAGCATGAGGAGGCGGTATATAGGGGCCTATGGCAGATTAGGGGCCTGGCAGCAGCAATGGGAGGCCCGTAATCTGCCAGCACCCTATGTCAAAAAATTCTACACACCAGCAGTGTGTGAGGAGACCTGAAAGTGGCACATGGCAGAGTGTGGCGATGGAGACAGCAGCAATGGGAGGCCGTACAGGGACCCATGAGAGACTCTGGACCTGGCAGCAGCATGAGGAGGGCGGTATATATAGGGGCCTGGCAGATTAGGGGGCCTGGCAGCAGCTATGGGAGGCCCGTAATCTGCCAGCACCCTATGACAAAAAATTCTACACACCAGCAGTGTGTGAGGAGACCTCAAAGTGGCACATGTTTGAGGGGCATGATTCATGGCGGATTTAGTCAGTTGTGTCAGGAACTGGTGGTTTGAAATCCAGACTAATCCACGCCTGATTCATTTTCACAAACGTGAGTCTCTCCACACTTTGGGTGGACAGTCGTGTCCTCCGCGGAGTTACAATACCTCCTGCCGCACTAAACACGCGCTCCGATGCCACGCTACTGGCCGGGCATGACAGCCTTTCAAGGGCAAATTCAGCTAGTTGGGGCCAAAGGTCAAGTTTCGTTGCCCAGTAGTCAAGGGGATTGTCTACCTCGGTTGGCAGGGTGCTGTCCAAGTAGGCCCAAGCCTGTTGTTTGAGGTCCTGCTCCAGGTCCACCTGATGCTGCTGCTGCTGCTGCTGCGGCTGGTTAGTAGTTTCCTCACTGCGCTGGTGAAGAAAGCTACTCATCATCGACTGCAGACTGAGGCAGCCGCTGCTGGTGGAGCTGCCACTGCTCCTACCACCCCACCCCACCCCCCCCTGCTGCCATGGCAGCGGAACGCGAGCGCACAGGGCCCACAGTGTCTGAGGATGGACGTTGGCGCACAAAGGCAGAGACCAACTGACTACATAGGTGGTTTTTATAGTACGTTATTTTGGCCTCCCTCTCAGCAGGTGTGAAAAAGGCCACCATTTTTGAACGGTAGCGAGGGTCCAACAAGGTGGACAGCCAAAAGTCATCCCTCTGTCTGATGGTTATTATTCGGCTGTCGCTACGCAAGCAACCGAGCATGCTATGGGCCATTTGTGCCAAGGAATGCGAGGGACTCCCTGCCTCCATCTCCACAGCATACTGCCACGGTGCGTCTGGGTCCTCTGTCTCTCCTCCTCCTCCTCCTCTACCACTCCTGCTCTCCTCCACTCCTGTCCGCTGAGTGGAAAAACCACCCATTTCACTCAATAATTCCTGAGCACAAATGTCCTCCTCTACCTCCTCCTCTTCTTCCTGTCCTGCCCCCACAGGGGTCATGTGGCGTTGAGATCTGTGCGCCACGTCTACCGCACCCTGACCAGCCATTGTTAACAGCATTTGTTCAGGACGTGCAACAGAGGAATGACGTCGTTCATCCCATAGTCCTGCCGACTCACGAATAGCGTGGCCTCCTCAAAGGGCCTGAGCAAGCGGCAGGTGTCACGCATGAGCTGCCAATGGCTGACATCGAAGTTACACAGGGGAGTACCTTTATCCGCTTGTAACATCAGGAAATCGGTGATGGCCTTTCGCTGCTCGTAAAGGCGGTCTAACATGTGTAGGGTTGAATTCCACCTTGTTGCAACGTCGCAGATCAGGCGATGATGTGGAATTCCGTTCTGCCGCTGCAGCTCAAGGAGGGTGTGCTTTGCGGTGTAGGAATGGCTGAAATGCATGCAAAGTTTACGTGACATTTTAAGGATGTCTTGCAGTGGGATGGTGGATTTTAGGAACCGCTTGACAACCAGATTGAACACGTGAGCCATGCATGGCGCATGGCACAACCTTCCTTGACGCAGAGCAGACACCATGTTCTTTCCGTTGTCGGTCAACATGGTTCCGATTTTCAGTTTGCGCGGAGACAGCCATCTGTCGATTTCTCTGTTCATTACACTCAGAAGTTCCTCCCCTGTGTGACTACGTTCGCCAAGGCATACCAGGTGCAGAACAGCGTGACACCGTTGCGCCCTGCACATGTGATATGCCGGTCGGGTAATGGGACTTGGCACGGGGGTGGCGGCTGAGGACACGGCGGAAGAAGAGGTGGTAGAGGCGGACATCTTTGCCGGACCAAGGACGTGCAAACGTGGAGGCAAAAGCGGCGTGACCTGTCCAAGTTGCTGGTGCGGCTGTGACGGCACCACGTTCACCCAGTGGGCCGTAAATGACATGTACTGTCCCTGACCGTAGTTACAGCTCCACACGTCGGCGCTGCCGTGCACTTTGGCAGAGACCGACATGCTCAAAGACTGGCCCCACCATGTCTTCTACATGTGAATGCAGGGCTGGCACTGCCTTTTTGGCGAAGAAATGACGGCTTGGCACTCTCCACCACCGCGGCGCGGCACAAGCCATCATCATTTCTCTGAAAGGTGCTGAGTCCACCACTTGGAAAGGGAGGGACTGCAGCACCAGCAACTTGGACAGGAGGACGTTCAGCTTTTGCACCGTCGGGTGCGTGCTCGCAAACTGTTGTCTCTTGGAAACGGATTCCAAGAAAGACTGCTGACGGAATCCGTGAAGAGAGTAGTAGCAGGAGAAGGAGCATCTGAACGAGCGGAAGATGCCAACGAGCGACAACTCCCCTCAGCAGAGGTGTTGGAGCCTTGACTGGCTGATGGAGGGCGATTGACGTCGGGTGACGGAGCAAGTAACGGAGCGGGTGATGGAGCGGGGGCTGGGGCGGGCAGAACCGCCGTATCTTTATCACGGTTTTCCCAGGCCACCAAATGGCGACGCTGCATATGCTGCCGCAACGCTGTAGTCCCAACATGGGCCCCCTGGCCACGCTTGACTTTCTGGCCACATAGTCGACATACGGCTACGTTTACTTCCTCGGGCGGCTTGACGAAAAATTGCCACACCGCCGAGTAGGAAACTTTGCCCCCGATACTCCTCACTGGCTGACTGCTGCTTCCTCCGTGCACACCGGCACCACTACTGGCCGTGGTGGTGGTAGGCTGCAGTGGAGCTGGTGCTCTACTCCGTGGCCGTTTGGCTCCACTGACACTGCTTCCACTGACACTGCTGCGACCCTGCTGCTGTCTCCTGGGCAACCCACCGACTGTTTCGCTCACTGCCAAGCTGCCACCCTCTTCTCCTGATGATGCGGAAGAAATTGCCTGATGACGACGAGGCTGCCAAGTGCGATCAACCTCCTCATCATCAAGTAGGGTCTCCGCCTCACTACTAGCCCCCTCGGCTGCGTCTGGGTCAGGAGACAGACCTGTCTCTAGACCGGCTACCGGGCCACTCTCCTCGCCACTACTTCTTCGCCTGGCTGCTGAAAAGGCGGATGTCTCCCCCCGTTCCTGACCGCCCTCTGTTAGCTCTTCCTCACTGTACAGTGGGGCTGAGCCCACAGCATGCGATACTTCGCTTGGTGAGGGAACACCAAAGGACAGGGGCAGGTAGAGGACACGTGATTTCAGTGGGCTTGGTCCCGGGCCATGCCAACTAACGGTTGTGTCTGACGTACCCACCGACCGTTGGCTGTAGGTGTCAGAGGTGACCTGGGAAGAGGAAGACGACCGAGCCAACCAATCGATGACGGCAGGGTTGTCGGTGGAGACACGACCGCTGGATGACACCGGGAGCACTGGCCTCTGGCTGCGAATAGTGCTGCTGCCTCGACCCCTTCCTCTGCTGCCACGTCTGCTCGCTCCTAAAACATTGCCTCCTCTGCCACTCCTCTGCATGTTGTCTGACATACTCTTTAATTAAACGATTATGTGTCCCTGAGTAACAATTCTGTGTCCCTGAGTAACAATTCTGTGTCTGTGCGAGTAACAATTCTGTGGCCCTAAGTAACAGTTCTGTGGCCCTCAGTAACAATTCTGTGTCCCTGAGTAACAATTCTGTGCCCCAAAGTAACAGTTCTGTGGCCCTCAGTAACAATTCTGTGTCCCTCAGTAACAATTCTGTTCTGTGCGAGTAACAATTCTGTGTCCCTAGTAACAAGTTCTGT